GGGGGGGGTCTTTCTCCTTCTCAGTCAGGGGTCACAGGGGAGGCGGGGGGGTTATATCTTCTCACTTGTGAGAGAACTATTTTTCTGTGGGTCAGCGGCCCCCACCCCTGCAATAAAGCCATCAGCTTGCAGGCTGCACTCCAGGCAAAGCTGAGCTATATGACCCAGCAAGTGTGCCCCCTTCTGGGGGGGGGGGCCCACGGGGCAGGCAGGAATCCCATCTGCAGAGCCAGCGCAACAGGAGTTCTCTGTGCCTATTGCACTTATCTGCCCCCCACTACCGCTGTATCCGAACCCCTCAGAGTCTTTAATGCCTATATCCTCACAGCACCCTAGTGAAGCAGGGAATTGCTATGGTCTCCACCCCCCAGATGGGGGAACTGAGGCACAGAAACTAAGGGCCCAGTGTTTAAGTGTCTAACTCCCACTGAAAATCAACGTAGGTGCCTGGACGCACCTATAAATCTGACCCAAAATAACTTGTCTTAGGTCCCACAGAAAAGTCTATGTCAGAGCAGGACTTGAGCCTGGATCTCCCAACACCTACAAACGTGCCCTAACCATTGGACCATCCTTCCTCTCAGGATAGCAATGGGATCGGAATGCTTAAGTCCTTTAGGCCCCTTTGAAGTCCCCTAGGCTAAACCCTCACGCATAATCCTTTTGGTTAGAAAACGCTCACGTCTTTCTCTGCTTCTTTCAATTCTGCTTCTTTCTCCTTCACCCTCATGACGAACATCTGTCTCATTTCTTCCTCCTTCTTCTGCAGTTCACCCAGGAATTCATTCCTCTTTGCTTCGTAGGTCTCTTGGAGACTGTTACAAATACACAAAGGAAAAAGAGTCAGAACTACACCTAGGGCAAGGACCGGAGATATCGGTCCTGGGCTTTAGGTTCTTGGCACATCGGCCCTCACTCAATATCGATGCGGAATTTCAGAGAAGGGATCTACAAACACACCTACTGCAGATGCATTTACTGCAATCCAGCTGCCAAATTCGCCTTCCACAGCTGTTCGTTTATACATTTCTGTCTGCTCCCCATCTTGCCTCATTTTTTCTTTGTCCTGCAACTAGCCTTTGTAAAATGCAGGATCAACAGAACAGAACACAGATTCTGGGCTGGTAGGTTTCATAAAGCTGCTATTATTTTTCCTCTGAATCGTTCTCTTTTACCATTTTCATCGCTTCTTTCCTCCATCAACACAAAGAAAATTGTTTCTTGACTCTGGTTTACTTCCCAGTGAGGAGATGCTGCAGGAAACGTCGTCACGGGGATAAAATGGGCAAATCCAGCCCTATATATAAAGAGCTGTGATTTGTCATCGCTCGGGGGATTTGGAAGCCAAATTCACATCAACTTTATCCCTTTGGTGGCTCTGAAAAATTTCAGTCATAAGGATAGTAATTCATCCCTCCCCCCCCACTTTTGTAAAGGGAAGCTGGCAGGAGAGGATGTTGGCTGAATCCTTGGTCCCAAGGGCCGGCACTCATGCCAGCTTCCCTTTACAAATGCAAAGCGGCAGCTGGCTGTTGTGCGGAGACCCTGCGTGAACTGGGAGTGAGTGCTGACACTGCCCTCCCTTATCGACTAATCGAGTAGCTGATGGAAATTCCATCGACTACTTGATTAGCCAATTAACCACGACGTAACATCCTAAAGGATAGCTTACAGCAGATGCAGAACGAGGAGCAATGGGCTCAAGTTGCGGTTGGGAAGGTCTAGGTTGGATATTAGGAAAAACTATTTCCCTAGGAGGGTGGTGAAGCCCTGGGATGGGTTCCCTAGGGAGATGATGGAATCTCCATCCCTAGGGGTTTTTAAGTTCTGGCTTGACAAAGCCCTGGCTGGGTTGATTTAGTTGGGATTGGTCCTGCTTTGGGCAGGGGGCTGGACTTGATGACTCCTGAGGTCTCTTCCAACCCTAGGATTCTATGATTCTAAGTACAGTACAACTCCAATTATCCGGCATCCAGTGGTCCGGCACTCCTGATAGTCCGGCACCAACTGGAACCCAGGAGTGCTCCAGCCAGCCGGGAAATTGGAGCTCCTGTGAGCCCCATGCACACTCATGGGCCGGAAAAGGGAAGGGGATTATACCCATGACGGGTCTGCTGGACCACACTGTGTCTGGCCCGTGGACGGGGAACGGCGCGGCGAGGGGCGAACCCTCCACCGTTTTTAAGGGAGGCGGGGGAAGCCCCACGCAGCCGCCGGCGACAGGCCAGCTGGGGGTGCCAGGGGGTGACCCCTCGGCCGTTTTGAGGGGAGGCGGGGGAACCCCCGCGCAGCCGCCGGCGACAGGCCAGCTGGGGCTGCAAGTGGCAGCGGCAACTTGGGGAAGCAGAGGGGCAGAGCATCTGGGGTGCTGCCGGGTTAGTCTCGCAGCGCCACCCCTCACCTGAGCGGCGCTGCGGGACCAACCCAGCAGCGCCCCTGCCGCTTGCAGCCCCAGCTGGCCTGTTGCCGGCAGCTGTGCAGGGCTTCCCCTGCCTCCCTGCAAAACGAAGGAGGGTTCGCCCCTTGCCGCACCGTTCCCCGCTGACCTCCCCCCCACTCCCTGCAACCGGTCACAGTGTGGGTCCAGCAGACCTGTCAGCCCCCCTGCTGGAGTACCTCCTGATACTCTGGCATATCCAATAATCCGGCACCCCCTGGATCCCAAAGGTGCTGGATTATCAGAAGTCTACTCTACAAGGGCAACTATTTCTGCATGTTGCATTCCTGAGAAAAAAACATTTTAATTAAAGATCCAATGATATGGATTTTACTTTTACACTCAGCATACTTTTTACACATAAACACAAAGGGGAAAATTGAAACCAAGTGAAACATTTGCCCCTGCTTTGGGCCAGTGTGTTATTTTGTATTGCATGCAGTGATGGTCTTTGTTAGTCCGCAAGCCCAACCCAACAGCCTGCCAATTGCTAAGTGTTGGGCTTCGTCTTGCACAAAGCGCCGAACAAACCCAGCTCTTATTCATGTCCTTCTAGCACCTTGCAGGAATGGGTTCTCACGAGTTGCTCTTTTGCAGCATCAGCCGCAAACAGAGACTGTCTCATGATGCCAGCTGACCTAGCTGGGTTCCTAGTTCCCAGTCTCGTAAGGTTCCATTCCCGTGAGATTCTCACCGATTGAGAATGGCAAAACGGAAACGGGCTTCCTTTAGATCTGGACTGGTAATAACAGGTAAAAATGTAGGGCAATGAATCGGTCTGACACTCGATTTTAGATACAAGGTTCTGTTTCAGAGGAGGAGCCTTGTTAGTCTGTATCTGCAAAACCAACGGGAAGTCCTGTGGCACTTCAAAAAAATCTGTTAGTCTTTAGAGATAAACTTTCCTGGCTAAAAACCACCACAACGGCATCTGGGTGGGAGGTTTTGCCCATGAACACTTACGCCCCCAAAAATCTGTTAGTCTTTAAAGTGCCACAGGATCCTCATGGTTCTGTTCTGGCCCAACTCTAACTGAAATCCTTTAAGTGCCCAATTATAGGCTCTGGAAAACTCGACCTCCTTCATCAACAGAGCGGCTCCCTATGCATGCTTTCAGTTTTATCCCTGAGTGCCGCTTAGAAGCTGCAGTTGCAAGATAGCATTCTAGAGAGCAGCAGAGCCATACAAAACAAAACTGAACACACTCCATACTCAGTTAATCATATCCTGCTTTGCAACCCACATCTTGGTAACCACATCTCCAACAAAAGAGCAGAGTGGTGTGGAAGGAAGAAGGCCGGCCAACTCATGGAGAGTTTTTTTCTGGCGACAGACAAAATTACTCATTTTTACTGATACCATCTTATTATTTTAGACTGGGATTTGCAGAAGAGCCTAACAAAGTTCGGCCCTCGACCACAGTGGGAAATCCCACCCTTTGTGGAAAAAACTTTCACATTCACTCAAGCCAAATTGTTTGTTGATGTAATACCACCAACTTCCCTGAAATCTGCCCGGGCCAGATTTTCTAAAAGCACAACACCATGACGTCTCTAGAATTCATCTGGGCCAAATTCTTTGTTGGGACAACACCCCTGAGCTCTCTGGTGTTAGGCCAGCAGAGAATTTGGCCCAGCAATTCAAAATTACATATGGAAAATTCACTTCCAGCCGGGAGGAGTACAAAAGCAAGACCATTTGGGATTTGAGCAACTTCTCAGTTGCAGCTCTCAAGAGACGCTGTTACTTCAGCTACCAAACAAAGAGGCATAAGCTACAGGCCACAAAAAACTCCCAGAATCTGAACATTTATATCCAATTAAGGAAAACATGTTTTCAAATTACTGTCAAATATTTTTAAAAAATCTAGTTTTTATTTTAAACATTGACAGCAGCTAATAACCCAAGGGACAGGGAAAGGACTCTACAAAGAGGAGGAGAATGCATGGGGAACAAGGGAAATACAATGGGAAAGGGATGCTGTCTTTTTTTGTAGGGAACAGACTACCTCTTCGCAAACAAAAAGAAACTCAAACCCAAAAACCTTCTGCTAGATCAGGGGTTCCCAACCTTTTTTGGACCCCGTACTCCCTTGGCTTTTAATAAACCTTCCTGTACCCCCTATTCAATATGAAAGGAAATAAATTCTAGACTCGAGTCCACAACTTTTTTCACTAACACTACTACTTTTGGAATATTTCAATTAGGATAAACTAGTTATTTATCAAATATTCCCCGTACCACCTTCTCGTACCCCCTGGGGGTACGCGTACTCCAGGTTGGGAACCCCTGTGCTAGGTACAGACACCGCCTCCTATTTTAGCGCCTCTTTGTGCAGGGGTGGGCCATAAAATAGCAGCAGTTCACCAGGGACCAGGACACCACTATCCATGGCTCCCATTGGCCAGGAATGGCAATCCACAGCCAATGAGGGATGCAATTGCCTATACCTGAGGCGGCGCAGGTAAATATAGAGGCGGTGACCCGCCAGAGGCTAACCCCGAAGAACCGAATCCAGCCCCCCTGCCAGTATTTGCCCACCCGTCTTAGAGTCTGCCGAGGCAGTGGCCTGCATTTTTGCCATTTCACTGATCCGGGCCTCTCATTTACATGCTTCTGTTCCAAAACATCCTATTTAGTGTAAACAGTTTGCTGCAGTCTCTCATCCAGTTTGGCTTAAGATTAATGGAACCCTTACCGCTCCTGACAGAGAAATGTAAACCAGCCCGGGACCCAGGACTGCTGCGGACGTGCGGTCCGTAAAATAGGATACTTGGGCTGGAAGGAATGCCTGTTTGTTTGTCTTGGGAGGAATAATGGATACGGTCCCCAAAACGACCGTTTCCCTCATTTCTGAAATACGGCTGCTCCAGGCAAGAGGACAGGGGTATTTTACATGAGCCTCCGCCCCATGTATAAAATTAGGTACTTTCCCTATTTCCTTTCTACTTATAAGTTGGTCAAAAGTGGCCTCAAGTGCACAGGAAGCAATGGAAATTCCTGGGATTCCTGCAAGGGAAGGGCTGAGCCCATGTTAAGTCGTTGCCTTCTGGAAAGGAAATCAACTCCACACTTGAAAGCTGGTTAAAGAGCAGGGGAACGACTCTCCTCTCACTCATTGCGGGTAGAACTTTGCTTAGCCAGTGAAGCTACGCGGGTGTCAATCGGACCGGAGAGAGACTGATGGACAGACATTACCTTCCAAACCACAAGTCCAGCTCTCCTCTCTCGCTGCATTAAGACCAATGATATTATGCTAGCGTTGGGGAGAGAGGCCTTGTGCTACATGGAACACGCCGGGGCTTTACGTTGCCACGGATCAGAAAGAAAACCTGTTTGCAAACAGCTTTCCGGCTGGCACCGATCCCTGCAATCTCACAGATTAGCATGGCTATTCTCTTTCACAGTTAATAAGCTGCCCCCTCATGACTGGCAACTCAATGCAGAGGTGCATCACAGATTTAGGCGCAGGCTGACTTAGATGCAAAACTGGAGGCTGATTGCATTGCCATTGTTACGCCCCTAACTCACACCAGCCAGGATGACTTGGGGTACTCAACAGGCAACGTATTCGGAAGAGGGAACACACACACAAAGCCCTGCGAAGCGTGTAGGAGGACAAGAGAAGGAAAAAAAACCTCACAAGTGACTCACACCAGCAAAGGCACATGGACTTCGTTACGCTTTCATACCTGAATGGTTTGCTATCTGGGTCAGTGTCTTTGAATCCCATTTCTTCCAGCTTACAACGCCTGTACAATTCGTAGTGACGGGTGTGCGTCTGCTCTCTCAAATCCTCCATGTTCACTCGGATCAGCATCTCACGCAGCTTCACAAAGTCACAATGGTTTTCGTTTTCAACTACAAAAGTAGCCCCCCCCCAAAAAAAAAGAAAAAGAAAGAAAAATGGCCCATCAATAAAGACAAAAGAAAGTAACATCCAGGATTCAGTGGGCTCTTCCCATTCCTCTCTCAGCATGGTTAATAGTTACCGTGCACAGACACGTGTCTATGCTGCTTCTATCTGCAGTTCCATGTGCCCGTGTTAAAAAGTTAGGGGCCAAAATCTCTATTTCATGGCAGAGCAGTGTAAACTGGCTTCACTGTAAACGGGAATAAAGCAGGAGGTTTCCTGGGAACAAAAAGAAACGGACAAGGCACGTGCCTAATATGTGATTTCCAAATGTTTGTTGCTGCACCCCCATTCACCCCGAGATGTTGGTGGTTTGAGCGCCTGGCGAGTTTCAAGTTGCACAGCCAGCAGCTTGTGTTATCAACAGGAACAGAACATTTTCCTGCCGTTTTCTCCTCAGAGCGGAAGGAATTATTTTGGAAACACTCCTGCCTTTTACTGCACCGGGTCACTTGTGAGGGAAGAGATTCTATTCCTCTTACTTCTTCGTCCCCAAGAATAAAATGGAGGCGGAGGCCAATGTGTGACCAGCTACAACTGAAAAGTTTTCATTCAAAAAGTAAAATTCCCTGTGAATTCCTTGGCAGCAGTAATTCCCTCAGGAGGAGCGCTCATGACTTGCAGCTCTCTCAGTAATAACCATACTCTTAGAGACTCAGCCCACAGAAGCCCTCAGCTTCCTCTTTGGTCTAGACCTGGGTTTCTTAAACTGTGTCAGCCGCGGAGCCCCTACGGGACCATGAAAATTCGATGGAGCCCTTAAAATATCATGATTTTTAATTCAATAGGAACCCAATAAAGATCCAGCATTCTATTTTTATTTCTTGTATATTTCTTACAATTTTTTTTTTCCAAGAACACTATCAGAAAATTAGTAACAAAATACTAGGGTCATTCAAAGATCATTCATATTTCTGTGACACTCTCCAGGGCTTCATCGAGCATGCTTTGGGAAATCCTGATCTAGACCATTACCATTACCAAGGTAAGGGTCTTCCGCTTTGGATCACCGCAGCCAGGATCTTTACAAAAGGTTCTCAGCAGATTAGATGAGAAGAGTGGGATGTCCATTTGGATAGCTGTGTCCACCCTGCTTGAGTGCCTGTGTTTCAAGGCATCCACATACCAGCACTGGCTGGATTCAGCAGCATGGTGATAAAAGGAACCAAGCCCTCACCATTTCATGGCATCCACATTTGCTACCACTTGGGGGGCTGCAGTGGGGGTCGACTGCAGGACCTAGGTTTTACCAGTGTTCTGGGTTGGCTTATTAAGAGCTTGTCTCCACTACAGTTAGGATCGATGCTGTAGTAATTGACCCACCGGGGGTTGATTTAGCAGGTCTAGTGAAGACCCACTAAATTGACTGCCAATTGCTAAGACATCAACTCTGGTACTCCAGTGGAATGAGATGAGTAAGGGGAGTTGACAGGAGAGTTTCTCCCATTGACGCAGCACAGTGTAGACCCCGGGATACGTAGATCGAAGCTACATCGTTACTAATGCAACTCAAGTAATGTAGCTTGGATCAGTATTTCCCCCTAGTGTAGATCTGCCCCATGCTGCACACTAATGCTGAGGTAGGACTCAGATTTTAGTCCAAGCTTCACTGCAGATCACACACAATTCAGTCTAACTCAGATCAACAATAACTCTAGAACCCTGCTAGAATGGTGGGTCAGAGCGAGATTCCTACTGAGACTGGGGTCCAACCCTTAGCATTTTGCAGTGTAGACACAGCTCAAGTAGCAGATCTGAATCAGCAAGTATAAGGAGTGCAGCGTGGATGCACTAGCACAGCCATGAGAGCTGGGTCCAGCAACTATAAACGCAGGTTTACAGTGCAGTGGGGACACTCAAGTATGGTCCACACACCCTACTCCCATAGACCCATGCAACGTAGACAAATTCTACTCCGGAACATATACATGGGGTGTCCAATGACTTCAGAGGAACCAGCACATCCAAAGGGAGAATTTGGCCTTCTGGGCATTTTGTTAGACTTTCAGGGTGAGATTTTCACAAAAACTCTGATCCCAGCTGTGTACTTTTTGAAAATTCCCCTGAGAGAGAGAGAATACGACAAACCATTCAACTGGCTGACTATTCCCTACTACTCAGAGGTAGTTTGCTGGCACAGAAATGCCAGGACCATACAAAGAGACCATAAAAAAAAAAACCTTACAAAATTAAGTATTTGCTAGCATCTCTTAATTCTAACTTGCACTTCCCGGATAAGGCAGTCAGGTGATAGACTCAAGCCTTCCACAAGTGACAAACCTCTAGGTTAAGAAGTGCTGGTGAAGCCCTGTTTTGTTTTGCTTTTCAATTGGCTTTTTGTGACCCTGAGCACTACAAAATTCTTACTACCCAGGGGCAGAAATTGGCAGGCAGCTTCCACTGATCAGAAGTTTGTGTTTCAAACTGGACAGCATAAAACAAGTTTCTCTTTTGACATACCTTGCACGACCCCCCATGGATATTGCCTGGCCTTGCTCATCTTATTGCCAATCTTCACTTCTTCAGTGCTGCCAACCACAGCAAAGGGAAGGTGGACCTACAAAAGCAAAGGCACAAAGAGATCAGGGATTTCCTCTGTTGCTTTGCCAGCGCGGGTTTTGGAAGAAAGCTCTGTTTACTACAGCAGCTATAATTTTTTATTTAAAGTCACTAAAGTGTCTTTGTAATCCAGCTGCTGTCTCTGGATGATCAATGGAGGCTCTAGATCAGAGGCGTGCTCTCCATTCAGAGGGGAAAAATCCAAAACAGATGAGGCCCCCTTCCCCCCAAAAAAGTCCAACTAAACCACAGCACTTGCATTTCATTGTAACATGGACTTTACAGTTAAAGATTAGTGCACTTCCCTGCAGCTTCCCATCCAACATGCTCGTTTTCATAACAAACTTCACCCCTCTATTATTTGAGATGGGACAGCAATTAAATCCCGCAAATAGGAAAGTAATGAATTTTCTTTTCGCTCTGTGTCTATCGGGCGACCATACTAACGTTTCTAGCCTGGTTCCGCTGCCCTTCGCACAAAGGCTATCGAAATGAAAATGAATGCGAATATTAAAGACAATCAAACATTTCACAGTAAAAACAACCGTGCTTCTCAGAAGGGCTCATTTAAAACACAAGTTAAAAATTAAATAGTTGCTCAAGCCTTTTAATTCAGCAATTTGCACTAGCTGGAAGTAACTGTTCCATCTTCCAAGCACGGGCAAGGCTGCACAGCCGTATGGAACTGGACCACCGCCAGGTCCAGTCAACTGCACCACCAGCAGGGGGCAGCCTTCCTCACAGTTCCTCCCTGCTAGTGAGCGTGTGCCCGCACAAGAGTGTGAATTTGCAGCTCACCCCCAATCCGCTGCCTCTAGTGACCCACTATGGCCAGTTGTGCTAGCTGGTAAGGAGAACACCCGAGTCTGAGCGGGGAGAAGGCAGGGAAAAGAGATGGAGACGTCCTCACCGTGCTGCTTGGGGAGAAGGGAGGAGAGAGCCGGGAGCAGCTGGATCAAAGCCCTGAAAGGGGATTTCAGACCATCCCAGCAGCTGGAAGATCTGCACTTGGAATTCCCCGCGTGCTCGAATGGGTTTTCAGAAGCAAAACCCCTGCCAAGAGCAAGCTGGGCCCGTGTGTGAGCATCGGGAGCGCTGGGCCCGTGCACATTTCCACAGCCTGTCCTCTGAAAGGGCGCAGAGCAGGAAGTCTGGAGGCCAGTACCCAGCCAGGGCAGCCAAGCCAAGAGCCCGCCCTGCGGGGCCATGGAGCAGCTGCAGCAACAACAGCTGCCCCCTCCGCTCCAAAGGGGCACAAGTTAAGAGAAGCGGGATGTGCTTCTTCTCCCCAGCCCACCCCCTGCGCCTGCCTCTCCCTCCCTTCCTCGCTGCCATGTGGGCTGAGCTCTGCACTGTGCCAGGCACAAACCCGCTGGCACTTTGCCCCCTTTCCTCTCTGAATCCTGCTCTCCCACCACGACATGGAGAGGGCCAGATTTCACCCTGCTCAGCCCCTGCTCCTCTCCTAGAGCAGCTAAGCACACAGGCTACATCCACACTGCAGCCGCGAGTGTTTCAAAGCCGGGGTAAACACATACGCTAGGAGCACTAACAACAGCAGGGTAGGCAGCAGCGCAGGCTAGCCACCCGGGAACACAGGCTCCCTACATCCTAACCTAGCCCTAGCCCCCCGGGAACACAGGCCCCCTACCCACTAAGCTAGCCCTAGCCACCCGGGAACACTGGCTCCCTACACACTAACCTAGCCCTAGCCCCCCGGGAACACAGGCCCCCTACCCACTAAGCTAGCCCTAGCCACCCGGGAACACTGGCTCCCTACACACTAACCTAGCCCTAGCCCCCCGGGAACACAGGCCCCCTACCCACTAAGCTAGCCCTAGCCACCCGGGAACACTGGCTCCCTACACACTAACCTAGCCCTAGCCCCCCGGGAACACAGGCCCCCTACCCACTAAGCTAGCCCTAGCCACCCGGGAACACTGGCTCCCTACACACTAACCTAGCCCTAGCCCCCCGGGAACACAGGCCCCCTACCCACTAAGCTAGCCCTAGCCACCCGGGAACACAGGCTCCCTACATACTAAGCTAGCCCTAGTCACAGCCTGTGCTCCCTCTGAGCTGAAGCAGACCTAGTGCCTGCTTGTCTACACTGTGCTGGGATCCTCGCTCCCAGGGCAGAGCGGACGTAGCCTCAGGCCCTTCAATATGCAACTGTATGATCAGAGTTCTAGGAAGGACCCTTGGGCACTAAGGAGAAGGTCGAATCAAGATACACAACTCCATTACATAGCTGGAGTCGACGTGCCTTGTTTCAAGTTTATCTGCTGTCCCCATAGCGTGAGACACAAGCAGGAGGTACTGGCCGCCAACCGGGACACCCTCTGAGTTTGATTTAGTGAGCCTTAAATAGACTCGCTAACTCAAATTCTGAAAGATCAATTGCGGCCATGTGGATCTTCCATTTAACATAGACATAGCCGCAGATGACAACTTGCAGTTTAGTGCTGGCACCACAGAGAGCAAGGACGGCCTTCTGGGAAACAGGAGGCCTGGTTCAACTTGTGGCCCTGGGACACAACGTGGCCCTTAATATTTGTAAGGTGCTCTTAATACAGCAGCAGGCTCCAGAGAGATTCCCAAGACACAAGCTTCAATAGATATTTTTTTAAATATAACAAAACAGAAGTAATTTCCTTGCATGTAGTGTGGCTAGAGACATGCCCCGCTAACGTGCTCTTAGACAGCGCAAGCCGCAGCCATGAGCTAAGTTGTTGGAACGGCAGAAACGGTGGCTCTCCTCAAAAGAATGGTTCTCACTACCAAAAAAAACAGACCAAACAAGATCTGGGTGCAGACACGACTCAGCCAGTCCGCCCGCAGCAACGGGGGAAAGAACAGTGCGGGAGCATTAAACCTGTGCCCTCTCCAAGGAGAGCAAAGCATACCTGAGTTCAGACAAAGAACTGGTTAAGTTCATGGAGGATACATCCATCCAGAGATGGCTCTTAGCCTAGATGTTCAGGGAAGTAACTCCAAGCTCTGGGTGGCCCTAGCCTCTAGAAGCCAGGTGCTCTGGACTAGAGTAGGGGATAGATTCAACACTATGTATAAGCACCATCCCTAGCACGATGGGGCCCTGATCTTGGCCGGGGCCCTCAATGTGCTACTATAATAGCGAGAGGCAGAACGGCTCGGTTTCCTTGTCTGCTTTTGCAAACAAGGTGCAATTCGTGTCTCCCTGCCTAACCCTTGGGCAAAGGCCTGTCTGCACTGATTTTCTTTTCCCTAACACCTCTCCTTGCTACCACTGGAGCAGTTTGGTGCTGACGTAGGCCCGTTGCCAGCAGTCTGCACCCCTCTAACCACCGCACCACTCAGGACTGCTCCCCTCGGCACCAGAGAACCAGCCGCCTGATTCTAACCCTCCCCCCAGGAACAAAATCCCAGGAACAAACAGCTCTGGGGGCCTGGGAACAGGAGACCTTGCTCTGAATCTTGATCACTCCATCACTCGGCCCTCCCAGGATATGAATACTTAGCAATGGGGAAAGCATATGGGAAGGACGTGATCAGCAGAGACTTGCTGTCAAGGTTTTTAAATATGTATCAGCTCTCCCTCTCCTCTCCCCACCCCATTCTGTGCTACGAAGTCCTGCTGACCGGCGTGGAGAGCAGTTTCCATCCATCTCTCTTTACCGGCTCCTATTTGAGTTTCAATTAGAAAAGCAAAAGGATGCAGCATTCCCGGCCCTGAGGGTAAGCACTGATGGATCCAGGCAAGCAAGACTTACACTCATCGTAGCATTTATCTCCGCCACCGTCTCTTCATCTGTTGGGAACTGATAGATCTGAACTCCATTGCTGACCAGTTCGCTCATGATTTTACTCTTGAATTTATGTAACTCGTTTTTTGCAATCGTATCGGCTTTGGCTATGATAGGGATAATGTTGACCTGCAAGGCAAAGAGAGGGCTGTCATTTTACTTTGCCAGTGGCCTCTTAAAGGACGCCTCCCTCAATAGGTTCAACCAGAGGAGGACAATGCACACGGAACAGCGAGGCAATACCAACTTTCTATTGGAACAGGAATTGTCGGCCCATCCGACTCATTGGATTTCTTTTGGCGTTGAAGCTAGTAGCATTGCCTTTGACAGGACAGCGCCAATTGCTTTTCACGTGGAGAGTAGTGCTCCATTAACAAGCCAGTAGTATCTGGCAATACAGTATTTCCTCTTTTGTAGCTGCGGTTTTCTTTTTTAACTAGGACGGAATGCAAATGCAGACACGCAGACTGGACATTACCATCCAGGCATTCATCCGCTTCAGATCTGCAGAAAGCTTGAATACTCTAAGGTTTACCTGCAGAAAATAGTCTAGAGATTTACACTCAGGCACATCTACTAGGAATATTAAGAAGTAGTTCACTAATCGTGTAGTCGACAGAATTTGTATCGACTACACGATTAGTCAATAAAGAAAGGCGCTCAGTCCCAGCTTGCGCTGAGTCCAGGAGCTACCCCGGCTGCGGCTCTACAGTTTCAATGTAGTAGTACCTAGGCCGCCTGCCCACCCGGCTCTCATCACATTTAAAATGCAGAGCCGCAGTGGGAGTTGCTCCTGGACCCGACATGAGCCAAGCTTGCTCAATCCCAGCTTATGCCAGATCCAGCAGCCTCTGTCCTAGCATGGTGCTGGGAACTCCCATGGACAGGGGCTGCTTTGTGGCAACCTTCCTCCTCACATCCCCCCCACCACACTGCTGCCTCTGATACAGAGGCAGCAAAGGAGAGAGGGGAATGCGAGTAGTCAAGTAGTTGACTCGACTTGTCGATAAGCCTAAGTTTATTGGTTGGTCAACGACTCACTTACATTCCTAACATCTACAGCCTCTTATTAAAAGGAAATGTTCACATCAGAGGAACAAGGCGTAGGGATTGGTACAGAGATGAATTGTCCCTTTATTGTTTCTTTCCTGTTTTTTTACCTTGTACCTCTTCCCTACTAATGAAGTTTGCACACCCTATACTACACACTGCCTAGGGGAAAACTACAAGGAGTCCTGTAGCACCTTAGATACAAACACATTTATTTGGGCATAAGCTTCCATGGGCAAAGATCCATTCTGTCAGATGCACTGGAGTGGGACTTACAGAGGCAGCATAGATCCCCTGACACATGAAAAAGAGGGAGTTACCTTGTCAAGTGGAGCACCAGTGCCAATCAGGTCAATTCCCATCAGGGTGGATGTGACCCACTCCCAGGGGCTGAGGAAGAGGGGTGAATACCAAGAGAGGAAAAAAGGGCTTTTGTAGTGAGCCAGCCATGCCTAGTCCCTATTCAAAGTTGGGTCACACCCACCCCGACTGAATTGGCTTAGTGAGCATTGGTCCTCCACTTGACAAGGTAACTCCCTCCTTTCCATCTGCTATGCTGCCTCTAGTTTCCACTCCAGTGCATCTGACAAAGTGGGTCTTTGCGCCCACGGAAGCTTTTGCCAAATAAATCTGTTGGTGTTTATCTGCAAAAACAACCAGGAGTCCTGTGGCACCTTAGAGACCGTCACGGCTCCCTCTCCGATTGCCTCCGGGAGTGGCATCTAACTCGGCAAATTCCAAGTACATATAAAAACAAACTTGACACAGAGCCAGATCCTCAGATGGAGCTAGGTGGAGCTCAGAGGATCACGGGGTCATGGTGTTCAGGAAGCTACGTGCAGGCCACCGCTCTGCTGTGACAAACGAAGATGCTCTACGTACCCTTTTCTTGCTTGCTCTCTTGCCCTAGATTACTGGCTGTGTTAACACGCTTATAGTCCCTCAAGGGTCTGGCCAATCCAGCTCAATCCAGCCATAGGTTAATGTAGCGTTTACTACACAGAGCCTTTTAAACCCACTCTGAAATGCCCACACCGCTAGGTGCTACCTACGATTAATGAGTAGCCTTCTTTCTGTTCTGACCAGTGGCAATATAAAACACCGCTACAGCAAGGAAGATGTTAATTTTGACCTATATGGAGAAAATTTAAATACAGTACTTGAAAATCCTCTTAAAATTACAGAAACTAATTTCCTTCTGCAGATGGCTCTGTGTCAGCAACTAATCCCCGTCCAGGGAAAACGTCAATATCAGTGCCAAATACAGGCAAATCCTCAGCCACTCTCTGCAAGCACAGGAAAAACCAGCTCCATACTGTACCCACATCACCACCATCAGGCAACCTGTTACCAATTCTTCATGGCTCTTGGGCCCATGCTACTCAACAGGCATGGGTGGCTCTACGCATCTGAAATGGAGAGCTCCAGCTGCCTGCTTTCCTGCCTTGTGCGCATTACAAACCAGAAAGCAAGCCGCTGACCACATCACAGTGCGGATGTGCAGCAGGCACTAACTATGTAGCCACACCAGCTTCCTTTCAAGTGGGCTTGGCTTTCTACCTCCCTTTTCAATACAAAAAGATGCTCCTGAACATGAGAAATTGGCATGTGAACTTTTCTTTACGCATCTAAGGGCTAAATCAGCCCTCTCTCTCCTAGCCCCCAAATAGATCCTTTGGCTGTATCTTCAGCAAGGTTGGTTTTGCCTGCAGCGCAGAACTGCTGAGCCACAACAACTAACTGCGTTCAGTGCCAGCATGGTCTCTTGCCTTTGAGGAGCATGGAGGGGGCGTGGGCAGCAACACAGAGCTGACGCCCCGCAACACCAAAAACGTAGCGCTCTCAGCATGAAACGAGGGCCATCCTTGATGGCAGGTTCATGCGCAGCTGCCTGCTTCAGGATCGCTGCTCGTTTGGGGCTAGGAGGAGCAACGTGGCTGATGATGTTCTCCCTGAACACGGTGGACCGGTTTGGATGAACAAGGGCACCGATTTTTGCCCAAACCCCTGTTCCTGGTGAGCCGTTAGAAATTCACTGGTGCTAACCTGCCTCTAGCCACCTAGCAAGCCGACAAGCTGTTTTAAACCTTCCCTGCACTCCTGTCCCTTCCCAGCAAACGGGTGTTTTCCATTCCCCTTTTGCTAGTTCCGTGGCATGGATGCCCAATTAAGTGGCAGCAGCAGGAGGGGCATCCCAGGGTCAGGAGATGGGCAGCACACACCTTGCTGTCAAGCTTCTTCATGGTGACCAGGTCTAGAGACTTCAGCGAGTGTCCAGTGGGTGCGATGAAATAAAGGCAGGCATGAATCCTTGTGTCGTGGTAATTAAACAGCGAGCGCTTGATCTTCAGCTCCTCCTGCAGGTAGGCTTCAAACTGAGTGTCGATATATTCCACGATGGGCTTGTAGCTGAAAAAGTGGGGAAGAAAAAACGTCTTTTCAGGTCAGGGCATTGACTGTGGGTACGTTAGGCCAGGGCTACCCGAAGAAAACGCATCAGACAAGAGCTCAGACAGAGTGGCTGGCAACTGGGGCTTTCAAATCATCCCGAAAGAGGACAGATTTCCTCGAGACACTCTACAGCACAAACCACTTGCCTGTCTGCATCAAGATACAGTTGATGAAGAAACCACCCCCCCCTTCCCCACACACACACACACACTCATTCTGACCCCAGCTGTTTCACTCTCCTGGCTGGGGAGAGAGACTTACCCAGGAGAACCCCGCTTCTGCAGAGTTTGGATCGCAGAGCAGAGAAGCCATATTTGTTTGACAGCTGTACTGGAGATGCTGCTGTCAATGCAGCCTGGTCCGCTCTGGACTGCGCTTTCAGAGGAGGGAGTCACGGGCCCTGCTTTAGTTAGTGCTGTTCAAACTACCTGCTACTGATTGGTTTCCAGGGTAGGGACTGATCCTGTGAGGAGCTGAGCATTCCTAGTTCCCAGTAAAGACAACAAAAGTTGGCAACCCATGGGACACACAAGGGCCTCTCCTGCTTGGGAGGCATTCATTGGAGTCTCCCTCCGGTCTGCCCAGACATGCTCCGAGAGCAATTACCCATATTCTTACCCTGGTTAGAAAACTGTGTTTAACTGACTTCATTCAGTCAATTGGACACAGTGTAAATCTGTGGTGGCCAGCCAGTCCTGAAGCAGTAGCTACTGCTACCCCGAACTAGCCACTTTAGTCTGAAAACATGAATAATTTCACGAGCCAACTAGCCACACACAGCCCCACTTGCCCTGCCCTATATCCGCCCCTGATCCCCGGGGCACCATTGTCTGATCTGAGCCAGGCGATCCAAGGAGGCCGCAGAGACTAGCGTACTGTAGAAGTGGCTGTGGGTGTCCGCTCGCGGCCTGAAATTAAAGACACTGAACAAAGGGGTCACCAAAACGGGCTGGAAAATCATCTGGTGGTGCCGGCTGCTGTAGTCACGAGTCTTGGATTGTGCAGAGACAGAACAACAGCTTTCCCATCCCCCCTCACGCCCTGGCTGCCTCTCTCCAGGAGCTCAGGAGAGCGAAGTCTGAGAGACTCCAGTAAATGCCATTTACTCCAGCTGGCTGTTGAATGATCAAATGCAAAGTGACCCAGCAGTAACAAGTCGCCCATGTCCCCATAGCGAACACCTGCTCCTTCTCTGCCTTGCCTGCCTTCCAGTTTGAGCGCATATGGCAGCGCTCAAAGCACAGAGCTGCCTACGGTCGGCACACGCCACACGTGTCACTTCTCCTTGGCAGGAAAGCACACAGTGTGTGGGTTAACAGCAGCCACTGAGCAGAAGGAGCGAAGCGAAGATAGTACACACCACACACACACACACGGCATTTTGGTGCAATTGCAGCCAACAGGGATGTTTTTAAAAAAGGCAGTGGCTTTTCAAAAACACAACTAACCAACCAGTCCCGTGGCTCTAGAGGGACGTTTTCCATCGAGGGACAGAAATGATTAAGACAAGCCTCACGATCGTAAAATACCGAGGGTGACTTTGCAGGGGCAAAGGGATCCCAGCAGAAGGCAGAAGCGTGTTTAAGTGTACGAATGTCTGTCTATTTGGGCGGCACAGTTGGGCTGCCTAGAAATTCTAAAAACCAGTCATCTCTGCAGTGTGTTGGAACGTGCATGGAACAGAATGTTTATTTCTTCTCTACAAAGAGAAAATCTGCATCCACACTAAAACCCATCCCCATCCCATTGCTGCCAGCAGAGTGTAATCAGGGAGCGCTCTCATGCTGAGATCTGAAGGAATGGGCACCGAGTCAGAACGGCCAAAATGTGAGTCCCAGCTTTCATGGGTGGCAGGTAATGCAGGCAAGGGAAGGTATTGCCTTCCCAAAACTGCAGCACAGCACTCCTGGCCCTCCAGCTGGCCAGCAAGAATCTGGCTTCAGGGCGGGGCCTGGCTCTGGGCCCAGGGAGAGGTGGCTGAAGGGGTGGGGTCTCAGGCAGATGGGTGGAGCCTCTGGCAGAAAGGGCGGGGCGAGGCGGGGGGCTTGCCTTTCCTAGCTGAGCCTTCCCCTACCGCCCATGCCAGCTCCGTCACCGACTTGAACGACCTGTCGGCAAGTCACTTCACTCGCCGTGTCAATTTTTTCCCCTTCAGCAAAGAGCGATAATAGCTACCTGCTAGCCTCTGGCGTGGGTTCTCTAGTGGAGGACTAACCAGTGCTTTCTAAATTCTAAATGAAGCAATATTATTTAATACAAATTACCATCCTATGCAGTTTAGATCAAATTCATTTACACTCAGCTGCACAGTTGATTGAGCTCCTTCCTCGAACCGAGGTTCAGAAGCAATTCAACTTTTGCTTGGCACAATAAATCTCCACCATGCACTGCTTTATTCTGCATTATTATTTCGATTACAGCAGTGCGTAGAGGCCCCCAATCGGAATCGGCACTTCCTTATACTCCAGCATTGCACCTGCACTTAAGAAAATATAGTCTCCGCCCTGAAGAGCTTGCATTCTAAACTGACAAGGGGTGGGAGGAGACAGACGCTTAGGGGAGGTCTACACAGCAACTAGACACCTGTGCCAGCCAACGTGGAGTCATGGGGCTGTTTCATTGCTCCCACAGCCTAGACTCCAGCCCACGTCCAGAAGTCTACTCAGTAATTAAACAGCCCTGCAAGCCTGAGTCGGTTGGCATGGGCCAGCCATGTGTTTTTCTTTGCTGTGTAGACCCACAGAGAGCAAAGGACTTGTGTAAGGTCACACGGGTCTGTGGCAAATGCAGAAATAATCCTGGTTCTGTGGAGTCCCTGTCCCGTACCACTAAACCCAACTATAACTACAGCACCGGGTTTTTGACGCTGCAGGCCTCAAGGGCACTGGATACTAGATATCATTCCCATAGTAGGGCCAAGCCCTTCCCTCTTCAAGATGAATTAATCCTTTTCCTATGCAAAACCAACTTTACCTGTCATCTTTATTAATCTGATCTCCAAATCCAACCGTGTCAACAATAGTCAGCTTCAGGCGAACGTTGCTCTCCTGCAGTTCATAGCTTCTTGCTTTCAACCTCACGCCAGGCTCATTGTGGGTGGCCGGGTCACTTTCAAACTTTGTGTTAAACAGAGTGTCCATTAACGTTGACTTGCCAATGCCGGTTTCACCTGAGCAGACAAGAGGATGCGTTAGAGCAGTGGTCTCCAACCTTTTTACACCCAAGATCACTTTTTAAGTCTCAGAACAGGCGAAGATCTACTGCCTCGCCCCTTCCTTGAAGCCCCACATCTTCCTTGAAGCCCCGCCCTCTCTAGTCTCCTGTCCATCACTTGCTATCCCCAGCCCTTATACACTGTTAAACAGTTTATTTTTAAATTATGCAATATATAAAATTAAAATCATGTTTATAGTTATGAAATAAATGGTCTGTTTTTAATTCATGCTATTTAAATGTCAAATGAAGCATTTACAATTATACATTTTGTTCTCTGCTATTTTGTAAATCTAAAATCAAGTATTGATAATTATATAGTTTTTTTTCCAATAACAAAGTCTCAGTGTGACACCTGTGACTGAACAGTATCTGCCAGTGTCTTGAAGTCTGGGTTGTAGTCTGAGATTGCTAGTCGTATACAGTCCATCAGATGGGCATCTGTGATCCTGCGCTCAGCCTGGGAAGCTTGCTCCAGCACAGCTGGAGCTAGACGCAGCCTCCCTGGGCTGAGCGCAGGGCAGCTGGGCTGGAGGGAAGAGAAGCGGCTGCCCGGCCAGCTGGCCATGGCGCTCAGCCTGGGTGCACCAAGCTCCATGTGGGCAGGTGCAGAGGAGAAGCCACCGATCAGCTGGAGCGCGGGGCAGCCTCTTTCACAAAGCCACAGTCAGCTTGCTGGGGTGTTTCAGCCCTCCCGGCCTCCCAGCTCCCACCATTCCTCGCAGCTACTCACCTGTGTTGTTGCTCAGTGAGTAGCTGCTCCTCAAATGAGGAAATCTAATGTAAATGTACTGCGCAGGCACGCAGTTCAGAGAGGGCTCAAGAGCTACTCTTAGAGCCCCTGAGATCTACCAGTAGCTCACGATCTACTGGTTGGTGACCACAGCATTAGAGCCAACGATCACTCCGCCCCCTCCCATTCTGTCCCAAGTGCTCTTCACAGAGAGCGCGAGCGAGTCACTGTTACTTCTGTAGCACCAAAATCAGAATGGCTGGTTTTCCGACAGTGAGATACGCTCTACAGGCCTACACACCTTCTAAGATGGCTGCCATCTTGGCCAGCTCTCTCAGATTGAACGGAGGACTTTCAGAGCTAAAAGCAAGCGCTGCAACAGCTTGAGCTGTGACTCATTTACGGGATTGTAACAGACTTCAGGTCGGGCACTGAGGGGGACCTGTACAATATACACATCATAGGACTATCTTAAGGTTGTCAACGCTCCAGGATTGCCCTGGAGTCTCTGGAAATTAACAGTTAATCTTTCACGTGGTGAAACCTCCAGGAATACGTCTGACCACAGTTGGCAACTCCAGTCTACATAGAACTTCTGAGCAAAGGAAGCTCGGCTTCGACTATGTGAGGGCCGCCAGTATGGCAGACATCAGGTAGATCTAGGAGGATGAATTTCTGCGGCCTGAGCCAGGCTATGTAGCTGAGAACCGTAACCGATTCCCGTACAGCATGGATCAGTCCCAGGGCACACACCTACCTACCACTGGGTCACATTTACAGTTATGAACCATGTACAGACACTGGATGGGATACCACTGATACCAGCAGCATGAAGCACATCATTTTGGGGAGGGTCAGAGGGCTAATAAATATATATTCCGACAACAATTTTGTTACCTCCTCTCTTGGGCTGTGTCCAGACTCAGGGGTTTTTTCGAAAAAAGTAGCCTTTTTTCGAAAAAAAACTTCACCTGCATCTAGACTACAGTCGCGTTCTTTCGAAATTAAATCGAAAGAACACGGCTTTTCTTTCGACGGCGGTAAACCTCATTTCACGAGGAAGAACGCCTTTTTTCGAAAGTGCTCTTTCGAAAAAAGGCATTCTTGAATGCCAACAGAGCTTTTTAGAAAGAGAGCATCCAGACACACTCGCTGCTTTCTTTCGAAAAAGCGGCTTGCTTTTTCGAAATTTCCGCTTGCAGTCTAGACGCTCTTTTTCGAAAGAGGCTTGCAGTCTAGACATAGGCTTGGGGTGGGGAGAGAGAGCTAACTGGGGCTCGTAGCCCTCCTGGAGGAGGCGTACTTAGAGGAGGAAAGATCAGAAGTCTGGTAGGCTGGGTAGGACAGAAAGGGTTACTGCACGTGCTGAAACATGCAGCATTGATCAACGGAGCAGATGAGTTCTCCAGATGAGGGAAAGCAAAGGTCACTTTCCGCTGAAGGAGCAGGAATCTGCCAGCAATAGAGGAAGGTAATTAGGCCTGCTAGGCACAAGATGTAAACATAGCAAGTCATACTTTCCTGAGTACCCTTTTCTTTTGTGCATTCTTCTGCCCTCGCTGATTATTTTTAAGCTGGACCAATTATGTAATATCCTCTCTATAGGCTCGTGAAGAAGTAATTAATTCTTTCCTCATAGACTGTATTCAGAACGTGCGCATCCCAAATACTCGCAACTCGTACACAACTTTGGCATTCAAAAGAATGTGAAAGCATTTAGAACGTTATCTTGAGAAAGAACTGTGCTTAAATTCCCTCTTAAAATCCTGAGCCTGACACTAGTTTCGCATTTTTCTTTTAAAGAAACAAGGCAAAGGAACCTTCCCAACTCAGATTTATACACTTTTTTTTTTAAATGTTAAATTCAAGTGGAAGCTGTCGCATTAGACAAACATACAATAAATTCAGTCCCCTTGCAGTATTTTTCAGACTAAATCACCATAGTGTCATAAACCCAATAATGAAACAATCCATACAAATTAAGAGACTTAATTTTCATTGTCCAATTTGAAAGGCAAAAGTGTAAAAATACCTGAACATGTAACAAACTTTTTAAATTATTTCAGTTTTATTGATTTGAAATTCACCACTGGTAAATGAATTTCTTTTAAAATAAGATTAGTAAATTGAAGGGTTTGTTTAAATCTACAAACTCTAAGTCTCTCTCATCATACCACACTAGATGGTATACAGTGCGGGGGGGAGGGGGAGATATACAAGACTGGTCTATTCCCGGTTGTGGAAATCAAAGCACGCAATCCCCTGCATTCATACTGAAATCCACGGAAATCAGTAATTATGTTGTTTGAAGCTGATGGGGCTTTGTGTAGGTTCAGGGTCTGGATGTAGATTTAACTGCACGATTGAGGCCTTCACAAGAAAACTACCATATAGACACATAAGAAAAGCAAATTAATTTTTCAAGGTAATTTAAAGGCAAAGGATTATAAATACTAAAAATGGGGCTTGTGAGGTTTTATCCAATTTATGATTAGTCTGGTCAGAATTTGATTTATTGTTTTATAATTCTGAAAGTTAATATACTTTTATTTAAACAGTTATTTTAATAGTCACAGTTGCCAAAGTTAAGGGGAGGGTCGTACAACAATGATTTAACAGCCAGAGATGTTAGGATTAAAAAAATTAGATCTTTATAACCAGGGCTCGACAATTAGCGTAATCTACTTGCCCGAGGAACAGCCGCTTGGCAAGCCCTGTTTATAACCATTAGCACACAAACCAACCACATCCCATCAAAATATACAAAATAAATATCAAATCAAACTAAGTTCTCAAGCAACATTTTTCTTACTTTACCTACATGTAGATTTTAATGGTCACTGATAGAAATATTTTTTCACCGGTTTGCATGTGTTCAGTGAAATCTGAATCCTTCCAAGCCTGATGTGCATAGAAAGATGGAAGGTTTCTTTTTGAGTTTAGTTCTTGAAACTGTTTTTCTGCTTGTCTGGTCTTCTCCGGTTTTGCTGAGAGCTTCGAAGCTTGCTCATTATGAGCACTCACACATTCGTTATCAAAGAATTCCTTTAAACAAAACGTTAGCCCTGGAACTTAACAGTAAGTCAGTATTGATAAAACTAAACTAGAAGCTATAAATCACGGAAACCAAGAATGTAAAAAGATGACTATAAATCTCTTCTCTCAAATGCTTAACTTTCATTCTTGTGACCACTGCACTAGTTATTTCACAGCATGCCAGGGTAGGGATGTGAACGGTTAACTGGTAAGCACCAACAGTCAAACCAGTGGGGGCTGGAACAGCCCCCCGCCCACTGGCAATATTTTCCAATGCTGAGATATCTTTTTCCGAGATGAAGTGACCACATCTGCATGCAGTATTCAAGGTGTGGGCGTACCATGGAATTATATAGAGGCGATAAGATATTTTCTGTCTGATTCTCTATCCTTTTAATGATTCCCAATATTCGGTTTGCTTTTTTGACTGCCGCTGCACATCGAGCGTATGTTGTCAGAGAAAACAACTAGCAAAAAGGGTATGGGGAGCCCAATTTGTCTTCGGGTCACCACGAAGATACCTTGATGGAAGGCAGTACAAAGGAATGGTGTCCTCATGAAAATGAAGGTGGTAATATGAGAACTCCTCGTAAGAGAGCCCAGCAGCAAAGATTCACACTTCTGTGATCGCTGTTTGCATTTAATAACCAAAGACAATCTGCCTGTTTTTACAGTAAGGACCTCTTATTTGCGATGGTACTCTCCTTTCTCATTTAGTAACACGGTGTCCTCTTATTTCAAGCGATCCTTGCCTCAGTTTGCCTGGACTATGGAAAGAAATGTTGGCAACCACAACAGCCGTGCATGTTGCACTGACACTCACACTATGTCCCAGGGGTACGTCCAGACGACAATCACTGTGCTCTAAGGATGGGTCCCCAATTGCAGAGCTGTTCCAGGCTGGAATCACACCATGCTGCTGGACCTTGTATAAGCTGGGTTTCATTCCAACCTAACAGGGCTGATTTGAGCTAGGGATGTACTAGCGTAGTGCCGTGGTCCCCAACACGGTGCCATTTGTGTGCACCCGCCAAGTGCTCGGGGCTGGCCTGGCCCCGGGCACGTGGTGCATACACGGTGCCGGAGCCGGCCCGGGCGCACGGTAAGCGTCGGCTCCGGGAGCGCCGCGAATTGGCCGCTCGCGCCCCCGG